TTTGCAGAACTGCATGTTTTTAGCAATTCCCACAGCATAGCTACTTTCTCACTAAGGCCTGTTTATCCATTACTCTTATCAGCAAAAGAGACCAGCAGGGTGTCAGAAGTCTTGAAGGAATTCATTCAGTCACTTGGAAGCACTTTGGGTACACCAAGCTTCTTAAAAACTGCCTAGGAATCGTTTTGACTTTATACCTAGGTTTGCTTTCCTTTACTAGAGAGTCTGTTGAGTGGGTAAAGATGCTTGCTACCAAACCTGATTACTTGAGTTCAGTTCCCAGAACCCTCATGGTAGAAGGGGAGGGCTGACTCCTGCAAGTTTTTCTCTGATTTTACAGTTGTACAATCTGACAATAAGTAAACAAATGCCATAAAATATAGCATACCAAGTAATAGTTTTCATTACAGTGTTTTCATACGTATATACATGCATACCGTATACTTTGTCTGAATTCATCCTTTTGCCCACAGCTCTCCCTCTTTCTGGCTAGTTCCCTTCTCTCAGTTTCATATCTCTCTCTCTCTCTCTCTCTCTCTCTCTCTCTCTCTCTCTTTTGTCCTCCTTCCTAGATCAACCCCTCCACTTTCATGATTTCCTACTTATACTAGTGTAATGACCTACACTCGCCACCCCCACCCACACATACAAAGATACACATAAAAAATTATATCTGTCTTAAGCTTAGAAACTATGTTCACTGAAAACTCACCTGTGAATGTGTATTTGTTTTATTCTATATACTTTTTGGTTTTTGTTATTTTTTTATGTGAAATATTTTAAGCAATTTCCTTTACAGTATCTGGTATTTTATGTCATGTTTCAAAGGCACTTTCCTACATCAAGTATGTAAACATACTCACCAATATTATCCCTAGAGGGATTTTGTCTTTTAAAACATAGATAAAATAAATTTTACTCATCTTCACCTTCTATTCTGCTTTCTCCCCTTTTCCCTTTCTCATGGAAACAAGCATCTTTAATTTCAATATGAAAGGAAAGAGGCTGTTTTATTGTGTTTCATACGCCTGAGTTGTCTCTATACTGTTTATACTAAAAATTCTTCCTTACCACATACTTCTGTGATGCAGTTTTCATCCTTTTTAGTCTCTAGATTTTGATGCTGAGCTTCTTGTCTTCCATTGTATTTAGTAACTAAAATGCTTAAATTAAGATTGCCTTATATAAATTTACTATTAGCTACATTTTATGGGTTTTACTAATATATTTTCCTCATTACTTTTTCAGGTGTATGCCCAGTTACTATTTCAATTTTCTTATTTTTAAACACTTGATTGCTTGTTTTTTAAGACCCACAAATATGGGTATTAGATATCATACATTTTTTTTGTAGAACAATTATGGAATCTTATTTGTGCTATTTTGATGTTTCAAAGCACATTTAAATTTAAATCGTGTGCTCACAATTTATTTGTCTACTTTCTTAAGATTCAGATGGCCATTTTCCCTTGTGTCTTTTAATTTAAAAAGCAAAAGGGAGGAAACATCACATGTTCCAAGTATATTTGCAGTGGGTTAGGACATCAGAAAATATGCAGTAGGAATGAAGATACTTTCATATTTCTGTAGCACTGGGGGCTAAATCTAGGGCTCTGTGCATGCTAGGCGCACACTCTACAACTGAGTCATATTCAAGGGCATATGTTGACTGACGCTTTACTGTCCCTCCTGGTCCCGCAGCTGTTTAGCCCCAAAGAAACACACAGAGGTCTATATTAATCATAAACTGATTGGCCTATCAGTTCAGGCTTCTTATTAACTTTTATAACTTATATTAGCCCATAATACTTGCCTGTTTTAGCCACATGGCTTGGTACCTTTTTTGGGGAGGCAGTCACATCTTGCTTGCTTTGTGTCTGGCTTCTTCTGTGCCTGGGTCATGAAATGCAGACTGAATTTTTCCTCTCTCAGAATTCTCCTGTTCTCATTGTCCTGCCTCTACTTCCTGCCTGGCTGCTGACTAATTAGCGTTTTATCAAACAAGTACAAGAAACAAATCTTTACAGGGTAAAACCATTGTCCCACAGCACTTCCCCACCTTAAAAAGATATAAATAAAAAAAACCCAAGAACTCTAAATCTAATATCCTTTGTTTAGCTTTTTGTCCTTCCAGACCATTATCCATAACATCTTGTAACCAACACTCTAAACAAAGATAAGTATTCATAATCCATTTTTTGGGAATGTGGGCATAGTTTTATAGGCTGCTTCCTGCTGATTGGGAACACTGATAATCTTATGGGGACCTAAAGAAAATTTTGAATTATGGTCAAGTCCTGAATGGAATATTCTGTGAGTCTTGATCATCTCAGGCAGCAGTCTTGAAACTATTCTGGATGTATAACTCAGACATCTGGGCCATCCACTTCTACCAGAGATTTCTCAGGGGTTTTCCTTGGTCAAACGTCAGATTGAATCCACAGCCTCTCATTTCTTGTGGAAACAAAAGCGAAACCTCTTGCCCAAAGTAACATATCTTTTGACTTTTATTTTAAAGTCAAGGCATTTTCCAAATATATTTGTTGATTTCAGCAGCATTTATAATCAAATGTCTTTTAGCAGCTGTTACTCTTTCCTCAGAAGTCATGCAATTCAAAGACAACAAAATAACATACAATATCCAGACTCTCTGTGCATTTTTCATCTTTACATGGCTTTATTTTAAACTCTATTTCTTTTATTTTTACTTTTAGTTTTTAGCTTTTTGAGACAGGGTTTCTCTGAGTATCTTTGGCTGTCCTGGAACTCACTCTATAGACCAGACTGTCCTTGAAATAAAAGCTGAGTCAGGAAGCCTCTCTTAAATGAGAGTACTTGCCTCTAGCAAGCAGAGCCCACCCGAGAAAGTGCTGCTATCAAGAAGCCATATTTAACTCTATTCTTTTTTATCTAGAATAATTTCGCAAGCTCTCTCAGGTTTTTAAGTGGATTTGGCTAGTCCCACGTTGAAACGTCAGGTATATAGGTTTCTTGTAAGAAAAAGTAGTTGAACATCACAGTAAGAATGTTATGACAAAAATATCAGCTATCCACACTTTTGTCTCCTCTAGGTTCCTGTTATTGTTTGATATAGAAGTATTACAGGATACAAGGGCTAACATTTCTCAATACATACCTTCAGAAACTTCTTTTGAGGGTTAAACAACTTAGTTCTCCAGCTCAACAAATGATTTTTATTTGGGGCAAGGGTATCAAGATTTCTGGAATATAACTTCACTCCACTGACAGACAGTATAACAGACTCTACAAGTTGTGGGTTGTGTGACAGAAAGAAAATGTTTTCTTTCTTTGTGCCAAAGCATCTCCATCTTCACAGGGTTCTACATCGGGAATTGTGTGAGATGATCTGAACCTGTTGGAATCTTGGGGCTTTCTAACTCTAATAAAGTAGGCACAAGAGTGAAAAGCACTATAAAGGGAACACAGAGAGAATGAAAGTAGGTCAAGGAATGTATGAAGGCAGCCACACATACTGGTTGCTGCCTCTGTCCATTTTGTAACTACTAATGAGAGGAGGTCACTTAGCACATGTCTGGTAGGTGAGTAGAGAACATGTTCATGTTTAGGCAGCCCTTGTTACTCAAGGGATCACGAAAGCAACCAAACAGAAAACACACTTGAAAATGGGAGGGAGAAGTGGGCTTGGCAGGAGCAAAAGGGAGATAAGAGAGGGTGGTGGGCATGATCCTGATCAGAATGAATTTGGTATGTATATAAGATTATCTATTATTTGATCCTCTCATGTCAAGCAATAGATTTAATTAAAAATAAGCTTGGAAGAAGAGAAAAATCAGCCACATCTTGAATGCTTTGCTGATAGCTTTATTTACATATTTCCCCTTTACAAATGATGGTGACGAAAAGCAGATGAATTTCCCAATCCCTACCCCCCCACACACACACACAAAGTACAGACACAGATTCTGTTCAGCATATACAAGCATTGGGACACGTACAAACTCATCTCACTGGGTTACTGGAGGCAGGAGTTCAACCTGCAGAGCAGTCTGGTCACCTCAGGCCTAGTTAGGAGCAGGGCCATGCTTCAGGGGGGCTGTCATTACTCTATGCCCTGCCACTGGGGTGCCAGCAGGGGAAACAAAATTGAGTCATGGTGATCAAAGCTTCCTAGCCCTGCCATGTGCTTTTAGCAGGTGACAAGGGGGCACTCGATTGGCTTTCAGCAAGACCCACAGTCACATAGAAATCTGTACCTCAAGGTTGCCATCTGCAAATGGAGAACAAACTGTGCCCAAAGATGTCACAGGGCTAGAACAAGACTCCAAATAGAAATGGTTTGTCAAAAGTATTTTTCCAAAGGGAAAAGTCTATATAAATTTAAGGGAGTTCAATTGATTGCAATTGTGTGAGCGCCCCAGGGATGGCAGTGGACTGGCTTTCGGGTCCAGGGGCCAAGAAAGCAGTCAAACATTTAGACTGTGCCTGAGGTGAGCACCAATCAGTGGCAGCTAATGGCTGCTGCCAAACAATGTACTCAGTTTCTTGGTCCCAGTGAGTCACCAAAGCCTAGTACCTGGATCAGGGCTGGGAAAGTCACTGGGGAAGTTACATAACGAATCACAAGGGTCAAGGAGGAGGAAGAAGGGGCATACAAAGCAAGGGAAATTACAAATATTTCACACACAAATAGATACCCATTGGATGAAGGGAAGTGAATTGGTACTGCAGATGGAGGCAGGTGGGGAGACGGAGATGGCACAGCAACTGAGAGGAGTCAGTTTCCCAAATATGCCCACTTGCTTGTTCCTCACCTTCTACAGAGATTGTGTGTGTGTATGTGGAGAGGGAGGGAGGTCAAGGAAAAAACAAGAATCTAATGGTCTGACTTAAAGACTTAAGGGTGGGGACACTCTTCCTGCTATATTGTTGCTCTGTGCGTTCTGGGGCTTAGCCTGAGCTGGGCCCCTTAGCATCATCACTAAGGGAAGCATGGGCTTCTGGGGAAAGTCAGTAACTGTTAATACCATTGGGAGGTATCTTATCTGCTCAAATGTGGCACATTGAGCATCATGAATGCTCTTTGAAGAATAGAGAGGTGGGCCATTACTTGAGAATGGCTGTTGACTGAGTGAGCAGGCTAAGGGGGAGAAGGCCAGTAGAGACAAACTCTCTATAGGCTTGCACTGGGAACCAGGTTAGGAAAAACTCTCTCTAGGTACCTCTGATGCTGTTGCTGTTATCTCCCAACTCCCTTGGCAAAGGGGCTTGACACCTCCTGGGGAACTGCGGAGGCTGCCCCATAAGCTACCAGCTGGAGCCTACAGGTTAAGGTAAATCAGCCAGTAGAGCAGATTGAAGAAAAAGAATGTAATAGGGAAAAGCACGCGCGAGTAGTTATCCAAGCAGTAAACATGGATGCAGATGCAGCCTCGCTGGCAGGTGTTGCCTTCACAACCAGGAGCCATGCAGAGGTATCTCCTGAGAATCCTGAAGCACACATAGCTCCTGTCACATCGCCTCCGAGGACACTGGGGTATTCTTGACTGCTGGACTGGGCAATACTGATGCTCCTCTTCAGCATTCCTGTCATAGGTGATGATCTCACATACAAACACTTCCTGCTGCTGGCGGGCACGGGCACGGGCACGAGCGTGGGTGCGGGCACGAGCACGAGTACGTGTATTAGCATGGCTACCGGATGCAAGCTGAAACAGAGAAAAAAAAGAAGGAAACAGTCAAGGAGATGTGAACCAAGAGTAAAGGTTGCCTAGAATTTTCTAGAAACTACACTTGCCATACTAGTTCTGGGCCCTCTGGGATTTCCACCATCACACCAGGAGGTTTATTTCCTCCACGACCCCAGGGAATTTCCAATCACTTGGGAAGCTAGTACCCTCATCTAAAGCTTTGCTGCCCACACCAACAGCTGGTACTTACATGGTACAGCTTTGGAGAAGTCTGTCGTTTCGTCTCGTTGTAGATCAGGTAGTTCAGCACAGCAAACTCTAGTAGAGTACAGAAGCACAAGACGAAACAAATGGAAATATACAAGTCCAAAGCTGTGAAATAGGAGACTCGTGGGAAATTCTTACGGGAAAGGGTGCCCAGCGTGGCCATGGTGACTACAGAACTGACTCCTATAAGAGCAAGGAGTGAAAGTGGGCTAAGCTTCTGACCTATGCATTAAACTGCTTACAGGATAGCAGAAACAAGGATTTTTCTTCTGACACATGCCCAAACATACGATCACATACTTTCTTACCTACAGAGGTCCTGGCTGCAGAAGCCTCTATCTTGATCCAGAAGGAGACCCAGGAGAGCATTGTGGTCACAGATGAAGGGACATAGTTTTGAAAGACAATGAAGCCAAACCGCCTGCTCATGTTGAAGAAGAAGGTCATGACCATGAAGTCACCTGAAAGACATAAAACACACCGCTCTGGCCTGACGTCTAACACCACATATATATCTTGGATTCCACTGCCCAGCTCAAAAACATCCTACCAGAGTTCTAGAATAAAGGCACACTATTTTCAATGCAATCCAGTAGAAAACCAGAGGGGAGACTTACTCTAAGACACCTGGCCAGTTGAGAGATAAGTCAGCATGAGAGTAGTAATAAATCCTCTCACTTCATTGTTCTTCCTCTCAATAGCAAGGGATCTGTTAAAAGCTGCTGAAACCTGTAGCTCCAGCTGGCATACTCTGTTACACAGGCTGTCTCTAACACTCTTCCTGGTATTATGACCTCTGTTACGCAGGCTGTCTCTAACACTCTTCATGGTATTATGACTCCATACTTGGTTTGCCCAGAGCATCTTTTTTACTATTCACGTGTTACTGGATATTAAATTGCTTCAACTATGACTTTTCGGTGAAGCCAAGCCCTGAATTTACACTTCTGTGATGTTATAGACTTCTGTGACTTTGAATTACGTGGACTTTCAAGTCCCTACCAGGAAGAGCTCATGTAAAGCCTTCAGCTTAGCCCATAACCAACCAAGCCTGGAATAACATGGAAGGTAGTGTTATTCAGTGATGTTTGCTACCCATGGGCAATAACCCTGGAAAGAAAGCAGACTCCAACACTAGTTGTCTACACTGAAGACACTCCAGGAAACAGACCAGGTGCTGGCAAGTCTGGAGTGGGCCTTTTCTCCAGCTGTCAGAAGCACTGGTACTGGATGAATAAAGTTTCTATATTCTTGTGAGAAATGGCAAAAAGTGCTCTGGGACTAGTGGAAAACTTGGTTCCGGAGTAGCAGTATATTTCACACTAGAATTTCTCCAGCGCTACATCAGACCACACTATGCTACTAGCCAGAGTGATCAAATTATTAGCTCTTCTGCCTTGGAGTCTTGACTGTGACTTAAAATTCCCTTCACATCTGAGTTTATATGGTTGTTACAAGATGTATTATGCTGTTGGATTTCTTGTTCTTTAAATTTCTAAGGAAGAAATTTCCTAATTTATTAAAAGTTAGAAATTTGCCAAGAGAAGGATACTAACATGTGTTTCCTTCTTTCTGATGAGCGAAGAAGCAAAACCAATGGAAGAAAGATGTCTAGAGCTGGCAGCCAAGACAAAACAATGTACTAAAGATGATTGTTGCTCTTACCTGCTTTTGTCCAGATCATGGTTGTTAGTAGCACTGTCAAAAAGACAAAATTAAAAAGACTATCTAGAAGATTCATGAACTGAAGACATTGAAGAGAAAGAGAAGAGAAGGAATTGGGGAGCATAGTCCCAATAGAACAGAAGAAAGCAAAGCTCTGACAGTGGCACTAGGCCTTTAAATTTGACATAGCGGAAGAATGATGTCAGTTAGGGTAAACTGGATAGTTGTAAGGGAAAAGAACTAGGATCATGAGTAAACATCCCAGAGATTCTCATTACAGATGAATAAGAAGTATTTCCTGATAGGAAGAACTATCTAGAAAAGGAAGAAGTCTCTCTGCCAGATGCTAAACTCCTGATCATGGCAAGATTTCCTCAGAGGCTCAACAACCATCAGTAAAGGATGGCTCACTTACTACAGGCAGGGCTCTACTTTCTGAGAAGCTCCTGAAGCAGAGACTCTGCTCTAAGGTCCAATGTGGCCCAAGTTGTAGGGCATTGCTGCATTCTAAACCCTGAAAAATGAGTATATTTGCGTTCTAGCTGGAAGGAACTGCTTCAGGGTTGAACTGGGAGAGTTGGGATCTATTTCAAAGATAACCCTGTTAGTGGAGAAAGCATGAGTTAAGAATAGGTTATCTTTAGCAGAAGAGAAGAAAGACCTATTCTTGTCTCCATAGGGAGAGCTGGTGCTTACCCACTGCCTTTGCTTTACCGATCGATGATCCTGGCTCTGGGGCTTTGTAGTCACTAGGGCACCATTTTGAAACAATGTGCAAACCATCTACTAAACGGAACCACTAGTGACTTGAAAGCCCATGAGCCTTGTCTCCTCTGACAGTTCTGATGATGGGTCTCCACCTACCTGGAGAAACTGAGGGGCAGAGAGCTAAGAGGCAGGCCCATGGTTATCTAGTAGAAGAGCAAGGACCCCAAAGCCAAAGGAAGCAAAGTAGCTTTCTCAGAGCTCCCCATGAAAAAGGAAAAGCATTTGTAAAACAGCGTCCATCCCCTGCTTAGTACTATGCAAGCAAAGTTTTAGCCGGGTAAGCGTGAGCTTCCCTCACCCAGTGACCAATAGTGGCAAAAGCAGATTTTGTGTCAACACACAGTAGCAAAGCCAAATGCTTCCCATGACAAAAGGCTGGCTGGGTGACCTGCTCCATCCACTTTCTTGTCAGTACATGTGAAGAGGGTCCAGGGTTGCTCTCAGAGCTACCCTGGGAAGATTCCTTGGCTCCTCATTCAGATCACCTAGGAACACAAGCAAAGATGCTCACATCTATTCGGGAGCTACAAGTTAAGAGACCCAGAATCTGCCCCTTTCATCTTTGTTAGGAAAAGATCAGAAAATAAAAATATCACCATGTCGATGTTTATTTCATTATGAAGTATTTGGTGGCAATCTGCTTTTCACAGTTGCTTCTTTAAGATAATGTTGCTGCGCTGCAGCTGAGTTACTACTACCTGCAGACTCTCCCAACCCCCACTAGCTGCCATCATTATGCTAGCTTCCCCTTCTCCCTCCTTCTAGGGTAGAACTTGATTCCCACTCAACCAGCCTGGATTAGTTCTGACTGAAGATAAATCACACAAGTACCTCCTCTCCAAAGTTGTCTAAGTAAACCAGTGACATAAAAAAGACATTGAACCCAAAGGGTCTAAAAAGTAAAGTAGATGAACATTCCGAAAGTCATAAAAATGAATCTACTTACCTCATCTTGCAAGGGGCTTGGCAAAGCACTTACTTCTTTGCAGATAAGACTGAGACATAGCTATAAAGTCTCAGTTTCCTCTGCAAACAGTTGTAAGTACTTAGCATGTATAAGAGAGAAGTGATGTCCTACACAGTGTTTCCATGTGTTCTTTACATAGCATTTATACAGACAGTCATTTCCAGGTATTGGTACTATTCCCTCAGACTCTGCCCAACCTGGGCTCCCTCTGGACACCTACCAACTGGGGTGGAGATGATTTCAGTTTTGTTGTACATTCCTCTAAAATCAAAGTCGAATGACTTCCAAGCATTCTCATTGATTTCAAGCTTGAAATTCTCCCACTTGTAGACCATCTCATGCTCGTCATAGGAAACTGAAAATCAACATGGAAAAGAGGAGTGAATGAGACTGGGAAGTTCAGCGGAGTGGCCCACCAGCACGGTGTTAGCTTTAGCCATGGTTTGGAGTTTTGACGCTAGCTTCACGAGCTTTTGGACCTTGCCTCTGGCCTGGTTGTTGGAGTCCATTCAATAAGCACATTTGCCCTGGGATCTGAATTCACAGAAGAGTAAGCCATGAACTAACCCCTCCAGCACTCACATTTCATTGAGTGAGGCCACACAGCTGGGGTTTTTGGAGCTGTCCACGGAACAATGGGCAAAGTAGGGAAAGATCACTCACTTGGGGACACACATGGAAAAGACTTTACTTTAAATTGGGAAAGTAAACATCCTCCATATAGATGTGGCTGAAAAGCGTGAAAGGGAAGCACAGAGAGGGGAACATGAAAACAGCAAAATTTTAGGGCGACTCCACTTCACAGATGGATTTTGTCACAGAAAGCAGCAGGGGTCCTGTCATGAAGGTTCATTTTTAAGGAATTTAGAATTGATCCATGACAGCTAAGGAAAGATTTGAAATGAGGAAGTGACCTGGTTCACATGGTGTTTTAGCTGGGTCACTCTGGTCCTAAGTGTGTAAGCATGTTGGCATGGTGCCACTTATGGAATGCTAGTGCAGTAGTCTTAGACACAACAAAGTGAGCAAAGGCAGGAATGAGAGCTAAGAAAGCAGAGAAATAGGTGGGATCCATAGAGACTCAGAGGGAACATTAACAGCATGTGTGCACTGAGTAAATGTGGGAGGTTAACGAGAGGGCAGTGTCAGAGTTCTTGGCTTGGACAGCTGGGTGGGTGATGGTGTCCTTCAATGAGGCCAATAGCAACACATAAGCAACACATTTGCTTTTGAGGCAGGAGTTGGGAAAAGACAATGAATTTATCTTAGGACATGTTCTGTTTCAAAGTGGAGATGTTGCAGAAGTTTAAGCAGAAGATGATAAAGCCCAGAATCAAGGCAGAAATGGAGAGGAGCAGACATACTTCAGGTACACTTCAGAAGCAGGGGACTAGCTTAAGGTAACGCAGGGGTAAGGAAAGAACCCAACATAAAGCCAAGGTAATGCAAACACAGCTTTTTTGGCAGGAAAGGAGGTGAGGACGGAAGATGGAGGCTCGCAGCAACCTTGGCATTGTCACAGGAACAAAAGCAGAAGCAGAAAATGTAAAAGGTAAAGATGAGAAAAAGAGGGGCCCAGCATATCTCTGGATCCCCAGAAACCTAAGAAGGTACTCACAGCTAGAGAAAGACAGAGGGCAAGAGTGAGAGTCCATTGGAAATTTGAGCATGTGGAGTGAGCAGCTCGCATCAATGGCCATCCTGGAAGGGAGAAAGGAGCCTTGTTAGGCTGGCTCTGGGCACTTAGGTATTCACTCAACACTGACCAGGGGATCACCTCCAATGAATGGCATCAGTAGAATTTAAGACAAAAAGCTCAAAGGAGTGATACAAAGAGGGAAGAAGATCTTCTAATATCTGACTATTGGGCTCCATCATCAGAGAAGCACATGGACCCGACTAGATTGATCATTCTTGCTTGCTCAGCCCAGTGCTCTATGTTCTACCCCCATACTCTTCTCCATCACCCTCATGCCCCACACTGCTGATATGAGAATCTCCTTCCAGGCACTCAAGTTATGTAGCCTAGTCTTGACACCTCTTCAACCGATGTATTTCTACTCTGCCTGGACAATTCCACCACCGTGGACGTGTCCTTATATACAGTGCCCACTTGGGATGGAATTGTCCAGGCAATGCAGTCATGCTGGCATCTTCAAGGACTGTGGGGCAAAGAAAAGCTCACAAGTTTGTCATAAACTTGAAATGTGTATTTAACCAGTATCTTTTATTTTAAGATCTCAGTATCTATATCTGCACAGGAAGAGATTGAATTCCTGGTCTAGAAAAGTTGCACAGGCTTTTAGGAATATTATTCAAGATGATATATCTACTTAAGAGTCCTTAGCTAAAATTTTCTGAAAGAGTGAGAGAGTCCTAGGAGATGAAACACTAAAGGTTTGACATACCTAACTGAATACAACACCTTTCCATCCTTGTGGATAAGAGCCATCTGGTTGGGCATGGTGACATCATATTCATGAGTCCTCTTAGAATTCCTAAAATAGGTATCCTGGATCCACAACTGTTTCACCACGTTGCCATGTAGAACAAGGGTCTCAAAGCTGTCATTGTAACGAAGCCGCTCATCATACCAGGACTGGTAGAAGATGATGTCAATGGAATATTCCTGGTGGGAAGGGACAGAAAACCATATACTTGGGGCCAAGTAGACAAGGGATAGTCACATGCAAATGGGATGTTTGTTAATTCTTAACATGGAACCCTGAAGACAGCATAGTAGAATACATGGTACACTGGCCCAAGAAGCAGAAGAGGGATGGAGTTCCTTTTTTCTACCCAGTTCTTTCAGTCTCATGACTGAAAGGGTCTCAGACATTAACACAGCCAAGAAATCAGTCACATCGTGCTCAATTGCCACAAGTAAGAGAGTTAAGTCCCCACATTCTATAGTGATTAATGCTATTCTTCCACAGCTCATAACTGTAGAAAGGGTTGCCACAAATGAGTTCACTACATTCTACTTTCTTATACAAAACTCCTTTGTGCCTTGTAGAAGAATGCAAAGAAAGTGTAAATCCTGTTCTGGAGAACGAATCTCCAGAAGTGACATTTCATCATTTTTGTTTTGTTGTTTGATATGGGATCTTGCTACAAAGCCTGGGATAATCTCAAAGTTGTAAATATTCTGCGTCATCTGCATGGGAAGCTCCCTCAAACAGCTTTGCTGCTGTCTGTAGCTGACACTGTGGCCTCTCCTCTCTCTACCAGTAGGCAAAGGCCTCATGTCATCGACAGACCTTTAAGTTGCATCCACCTAGGACTACAAGGAGTAAAGCAACATATGTTTGGATGCAGGCATTTTCCAATGTCAAATGTTCTGAGAAGAGAGTAATATTCTCAAATATGCATATTGCCTTCATCAATAAATCCCTGGGCTATGGTGGGTCTCTACACAGCTGAGCTCAGTAGTCACTGTAGTTATAGAGGGCCATAGTGCTGCTCCTACTCTGTCAACACTCTTTCAGCCCATACACTACAAACCAAAAATCCCAGCTCAAAAGTGCTCAGAAATGCATAAGCACACACAACTCATTGTACATAGAAAAGGTTCCCTTTCAGCTTTTATTCATGGCACACAGCTATTAATTAAACCCAACCATTCATTTCACAGAATTATATTTTAAAATGAAGCGATTTGACTCACAAGAAAAATGTCTATCTATTGTCATTTTTTAACAAGGAGAATTATGTTTGTGCTTTGCTTTATTTTTCCTTTCAAATAAGTGCCCACATAATCTCTGAAGAGTGTGTGCACATGAATAGATAGTTCCATGATCATGTAGTCTCTCCATATTATGGATCCCATAAACTGTCTTTTAAACATCTAGGAGATATTTATTAAGACGTACAAGAAGCAAGAAGTTTATGTGGCTGAGGCTTGTAGGCCAATACACAGATGGCGATACAATTGTAATTAATTTGAAGCAAGCACCAACGCTATGCCGCAGCACAATTAAAGGCAGGTTGCCTAATTTATTTTAGAAGATAAACTGAGACTCAGATAAGATGTGCAAAGTTCCACAGCCAATGATGGTACAGCGGCCCTGCCACTCAGAGCACCGTTACCCTATCTTTATCCTATCATTTGTTTTCTTCACACGCACAACAAAAATGCTCTTTGGGTATCAAAGTCCAACTTCCCCAGGTCTTTCCTGAATAATCTTGCACCAACGAACAAGTATCAGATGGGTCTGATGACACAGGCCTGTAATCTTAGATACTTGGGAGGCTGAGGCAGGAGGATGAAATGTTCGGGTCACACCTGGGCTAGATTGAAGCAAGGCCAGCCTAGGAAAATGAGTAAGACCCTGCCTCATAAGTCACTCGACTGCTGGTAGCCAGAAAAGAAAGGCCAACGTTTTTACCACAATAAACTAGAAAAGCTGGCAGATAATGCCGAACTCCTGATCTTGCCCAGTCCTGTCCTGTCATGTTCTGTCCTGCCCTACTCCATCTACCCTCACAAAGAGCCTTCAAAGAATTTGCACTTTCCTAGTAGCTGGCCAAGTCTCATCTGCATCCTAGCACATGCACTGTATGGTGGGTGATGGGGAACTTGCGTCTCCTGCAGCTGTGCTGGAGGTCTGCTATACGATATTCAAAAGAAATATGCCACTGCTGTTTAAGAAGATAGCAATTATAAATTCCTCATACATCAACATATAACTAATGGTTTGCGATTCAATTTTCCCTCAGTTTGACAGGGAACTAGAGATTAGTTTAGCTAAAACAGAAAAGCTGTGTTTCAGAATTGACTTAATTAGAATCACCTGCAATAATTACCATAGTAAGAGCCAGCCAGTATTAGCAAAAGGGGATACTGTGACCAGGAAATTTTTCTCAGACTAGTCACTGCTTTTAAGGCCAGACTGGGTGTTTTCAGAGGTAAACAAGGAAGGGAGTAGAAATATTTGATTACAATGCTATGGTTTTAGGTTTCTCTTTCCTCTTCTACCTGCTCCAGTGACTGGGGCCAAATATCCACTTCACCAACTCCACTGACTGGGTTGCTATTCCATTGACCAACAAACCTTGCTGAGACGATCAATAGCTTCAAATGGTGAGGTCAGAAAAGGGTACTTGACTGCCACAAAGAACAACAGAGATAATCCATGCTGGAGCATTGGCAGAATCATATGCTAGACACCTATGTTCTCCTCGGCAAATGAATTAGAAGCAGGCTGAACAAGCACAGGGACTGCCCCCCCCATTTTATTGAATTATGTAGAACTATGTAGAAACTGAAACTTCTGGGGGAATTATGTATCATATAAGGCTTTAGAAGGTTTAAAAAGTCTTATTAGTTAAATAAATCAGGCTGCTGGTCCTATGCTGACCCAGCTCTGTGTATGACATCTAGCCGAGTGACTTACAGATGATTAGATTGCATAAATAGAAGCTAAGGCGAAGTTAGTGCTAGAGAGACTAATAGATGTTGAACAAGGAGAGATGGCGCTTAAGTGGGGCTAATGGCCTGCTGCCACAAGTACTCTCGTGGAGAATAGAAACTAGTCCCCCCAAATTATAACCTACACAAATTGCCTGACAAGTTTGCCACTGTTTTTTGGTTTTATGGGACATTCAGAATACAGAGCCAAACAACTTAGATCATTTGTTGTATTTATCAATGGGTGTGGTCTCTCCTCCTTATAAGCCTATGAAATTTAGCCAACACTAACTAAGTAAAGGTGGGAAGCTTACTAATAAAGAAAAAGAGTCAGCTTGCTAGAATTTAGAGTGGCATAATAAAGAGAAAGAGCATAATAAAAAGGAAAAAGCCATTCTGAGCTACTCTTTCACTCACTCTATGGAAACAGTGTGCATTCCATTAAGGTTACTTACCTCCGAGTCTATCAGGAACACCCATCTCAACATCAAGGCTCTCAACTCACCCAGATCACACAGTGCTTATTAGGCTTAAGTATGTTAAAACTGGCTCTACCTTTGGACAAACCAAGTCCATGGACATTACAGAGCTGGTTATCACAACCTTTCTTTGTCAGATACTACACATATGAATTTTGCAGAGCATCTTTTGTAACTCATTTGGTCAGCTACCATATACTATGTTCTTAGCATCAAGTAGTTCATAACAGAGAGACCAAGACCAACATAAAACAATTAGTTACCATGAAATAATCGAGATAAGAAGATAAGCTACTTGTGAGCCATGAAAATGTGAATGCCCAGAGACAGGCATGGTGTATGAAGGGATTAATCAGCTGCTATGTGAGTCAAAGAAATTGTCATGAACAAGATGTTATCCAAGCTGGACCCTGAATGAGTGAAAAAGTAGAGCAACATAATCTCAAACTTGAACAAAAGTCCCCCTCTGTGGTACAAGGTTGTCCTGGTATTTGCATAATATAGTGTGGTCACAGTCTATGGACTTCAATGGGGTGAAAAAGAAGAGTCATAGGAGAGGGCATGTAATGTGGAGTCCCCTCTGTGTGCTGTGATTACCATTAATGAAGAAAGAAACTGCTTTGGACCTATGGCAGGGCAGAACTTAGCTAGGTGGGGAAAGCTGAACTGAATGCTGGGAGAAAGAAGGGTGGAGTCAAAAAGATGCCATGGAGCCACCACCAGAGACAGAAGCTGGGAACTTTACCCGGTAAGCCACAGCCACGTGGCAATACACAGATTAATACAAATGGGTTAAATCGAGATGTAAGAGTCAGCCAATAAGAAGCTAGAGCTAATGGGCCAAGCAGTGATTTAATTAATACAGTTTCTGTGTGATTATTTCACTTGCTAGATTGTGGGGTTGAACTCATCTTGAAATTAGTAGCCAAATGGATGGATCTAGAAAAAAACCATATTGAGTGAGGTAACCCAGACTCAGAAAGACTAATACACTCACTCATAACTGGCTTTTAGACAAAAAGCAAAGAAACATCAGCCTACAATCCACAATTCCAGAGAACCTAGACAACAAACAGGACCCAAAGACATACATGGATCTAAATAGGAAGGAAAAAAAGACTAGATCTCCTTAGTAAACTGGGATCATGGGGGTCACGGGAGAAGGTAGAAGGATAGAGAGGAGGGAGGGGAGCAGAGAAAAATGTATAGAACAACAAAAACAAACAAGCAAATAAATAAATAGGAAAAAAGAAAAAAAACAGAGGCACATCACTGAGGAAGCTTACTCATTAGGGCTGGGCAAGGATATATTTACATATTTCAAATAGACGATGCTGAAGGTTAGCTGAGGATCATATTGATAACAGTGGAAAGGAAAGGAGACAAAAGGATTAAGAAAAAATTATAGGGACAGCAAGAAAAGGCAGCTATAGATTTAAGTTTATCAGAATAATCAGACAAAAGAGAGACATTCCATTGTGGTATTTAAGTTATTTTATTGTTTTTACTTTGAATGAAAAACTCGAGTAACAATTCCAAAGGTCCTCTTCAGGCAGCAAAGGACTTACCTTTTCCATTCATGTTCTCAGATTAATTGTGGCTAAAAAATCCCAACCTGATCCCCCAAACAACAACAGAAACCTACCTCTTGTAGTAGTAACACAAAGAGCAGAAAGCAAGAGTAAGTGGCAGGCCCCTTATCTCGGTGCCCAGTCTAGGAAAAACTGTCATCAAAGCTCTGTACTCACCATGTCTAGGGTGGAAATAGGCCCGAGGCTGTTGACAAAGATTTCAACAGTGACCACAGTGGGCTTCTCTGTAAGGTAAGAAGCAGTACAGGGTAAATGTCACATAAAGACATGGCACCAAGGAGGGAGTTATCAAAAGGGAGGGGAGAGGGCCAACCCTACTTCCTTTGTTCTTTCACAGAAAGCCCCATGGACTTTAAGGTTAGACACACACACAACTTCAGGCCATAAATCGTATTTTGGAATTGGAAAAACTGAGGGTAAAAGAAGGGGAAAGTGTTGACCTAAAGGAGTCCTTGTGGCTTACCTGGTGCATCAGACCAAGGTGTTCCTGTATGTGGCACCTCCACCTATATATAACCCAGGTTCATTGCCCAAACTACATATGAAACCTGCTTTTCCTTCAGAGAGGAGACGGCTTTCTTCTGTTTACTTACTTCCAATGCCAGGGCGCAGTTTATGGTCGTAGTTACTTAGGATGGTGTTAAGGATTCGAGAAGCTCTTGCCAGGTTCTCTCCTGAGCCCCCAGTCATGCAGTCAGCGGCAAGTTGTGTTTCTTCTGCTGGAAGCTTCTTTCCACTAGGCTGAAGCTCCTGCTGGTACTGGGGTTCTGGCTTCATCTCCGGTTCAGGCTCGGGGTCAGGCTGAGGATCTGGCTGAGGGTCCGGCTGAGGGTCCGGCTAGGGGTGCGGCTGGGGATGTGGCTGGGGGTGCGGCTGGTGGTCTGGCTCGGGCTCCTGCTGGGACTCCTGCTGAGGCTCCGGCTCTGGCTCCGGTTCGGGCTCAGGCTCAGGCTCCGGCTGGGGCTCTGGTTCTGGTTCCGGTTCGGGCTCAGGCTCAGGCTCCGGCTGGGGCTCTGGCTCTGGTTCCGGTTCGGGCTCAGGCTCAGGCTCAGGCTCAGGCTCAGGCTCCGGCTCCGGCTCCGGCTGGGGCTCTGGCTCTGGCTCTGGTTCCCGTTCGGGCTCAGGCTCGGGCTCAGGCTCGGGTTCCGGCTGGGGCTCCGGCTGGGGCTCCGGCTGGGGCTCCGGCTGGGGCTCCGGTTGGGGCTGGGGCTCAGGCTCCGGCTGGGGCTCAGGCTCCGGTTGGGGCTGGGGCTCAGGCTCCGGCAGGGGCTCAGGCTCTGGCAGGGGCTCCGGCTTCGGCTGAGGCTTCGGCTTCGGCTGGGGCTGAGGCTCCGGCTGGGGCTCAGGCTGGGGCCTGGGCCTGGGTTTGCGCCCAGCCTGGAGCTGGACTGGGGTCTGGGGTTCAGGGTGAGGGTGGGGCTCGGGCTGAGGCTGGGGCTCTGGTTGAGGCTGGGGTTCAGGCTGGGGTTCAGGCTGGGGTTCAGGCTGAGGCTGAGGTTCAGGCTGGGGATGGGGCAAGGGCAGGGGCCAAGGCAGAGGATGGGGCTGGGGCTCAGGCTGGGGCTCAGGCTGGGGCTCAGGCTGGGGTTGGGGCTCTGGCTCCGGCTGGGGCTCCGGCTCCGGCTCCGGCTGGGGCTGAGGAAGGGGCCAGGGCAGGGGCTGAGGCAGAGGCTGGCACCCAGCCAGGGGCTGGGGCTGGGGCTGAGGCTGCGGTTGGGGCTGAGGCTGGGGCTGAGGCTGGGGTTGGGGCTGAGGCTCTGGCTCAGGCTGTGGCTGGGGCAGAGGCTGGGGATGAGGCAGAGGATGAGGCTGGGAGCTAAAGACTACATCATCATCATGGCCCAGGGATTTGGCCTGTGGCTGTGGCTGAGGGCCGAAGAATACATCATCATCAGCAGGGGATTCAGGATCAAGCAGAGGCTGAGGCACAGGCCTAGGCTGAGGGCCGAAGACTACATTTTCTTGGACAGGGTGCTTATTCTCCAGCTCAACATGAGGTCCAACCCTAGAATATATGATCAAAAAATTAAGTCCTACCTTCTAATCAGCCTGATGTCTTTTGGGACAGAAGGAAACCAAAATATTCACAGGGCAAGGCTTAATTAGTGAATAGTGATAGTAACTGAGGAGGCACTAACAAATGAAATTTGCTAATTCCTTTTAAATCTTATTGCTCTTTGGTGACTTTGTATGCATTCCTCCTTTCATAATTCTTTACTTTAAAATCGTCAGCAACAAACATTAGACTAAATTTTCAGAAACCATTTTGTGTACAATCAAGTAGGTGGGCATTGTTTGCGTGAACTCTGGCCAATCAGCTGCTGTGTGCTGTTACTAACCTAGGCCTTACAACTGCCTGAGTCTCAGCACCTGAGAGGACAGGGCAAGCCAAAGGCCAGGAGCTGCTGAGGAAAGCTTGCAAGCAGATAGGACTGAAAATTTCTGGCATGGTTCCGTAATCCTCATACTGAGTGGAGAAAGGCAGGCTTTGTGGCTGTCTCTATACTGTGTACTGGACCCAGGAAATGGATAACCAATAGGAGAGCATCTTAGGTACCAGGGCCAATAACGACAATAGCAATAATAATGATAATATTTTTAATAACAACCACAATTTAGAAATTCATTTGTTAATATATGAAAGTCCCCATACTGCTAGAGATCAGGATGAAAGGGCCCCACTCTGGTCATTTTGTGATGGCTTATCAGTTGTAGGCTTATTATTTCAACAACTTTCTATATAGGGGTTCTAATTTGGTAAAAAGGCATTTTAACAATAAAAAAATTCCACTGGCTAATATGTAGATAACACTTGAGTCCTGATTTTTAAAACCAAAACTGTAAAAATTATATAGTAGAGAATAACTGAAGCATGAATAAATCATTCTTAAATATTTGCTGTGATAATGATATTTTATTGTAGCCCTTAATGACTACAATATTTACATACAAAATGATATAACATCTGAGAGTTATTCATTAAAAAAATCCATGTTAAAATGGGTGGTTGGTAGATAGGGGGCAGAGAAAATAATTGACCATTGGTTTCTTCATTAATATTAAGGTTGATTGTGGCTATGTAGAAATACAGTTTACTATATATCCTTGAAAAAATACAATTAAAAGCCTTTGAAAATGATATCAGCACTAATTAACATTTGATGTTCAAAGGCAAGAGAGAGGTTTCCTTGAGGAAGTCTGTACATTTGATGAGGCTTGGGGCTGCAGGGGAGATTGTTTCCTTATCATCTAGGTGCTGGTTACCTAATCATGCTTACTTTAAGAAAATTCACTGAGCTGTTGTTCATTTATGATCGCTGCGTTTTCATATTTGTGTATTACACTTGTAAAATTGTATTTTGAAGCTACCAGGCAAATTTAATCCCTAAAATGGAGCAAGATACTAGGATGAGCAGGTCCCTGTGCTGCAGATCAGGGAACAGACAATTGAGCATCAAAAGTGCATATTTTTCCTACAGTGTTCTGAGCTTTTAGAATAGTTTAATTGGCATACAGATGTGCTAAACTAGAGCTATTTCTCATTTGTGAAATGGCTAATTCCCATAGTGGGCTAAGCAAGGACTGGGTTTGGGAAAAGCATTTCCACTTTCAAATACCATCTCTACATGATGTCTTCTTCTCTAAGGCTTTTTAATTTAAGTCTCCGAGGCATCTAGAGGCTTATCCCCTAGGTCTCTGAAGAGAAAGGGCCAACAATAGGGATCAGAGTCCCTCTACTAGGCCTTCAAGGAAAATAATGAGTGTGTGTGGGGGGGGGGTGATCCTTCAATTTGATTTTGTCAGTGTAAACAAACAGCCACACCTTGAGATCTTTGGGGTTAAGAAGCTCCTGTGTATCCATACCCATCTCCAAAAAGCCACCAAGCTCTTTCTCAAGGCTATAAAGAATAAAGCTTAGAAAAGCACATTGGCCTAGTGGGATTTTCCAAGGAAACTTTTCAGACATCCACAGCCCTCCAAATGTGATAATCTTGCATGATACTGAAGCTCTGCACTACCACCTTCCAAATCTGGCTGAAGATGAGAGCAAGGGAGCCCAAGGAAGGCCCTGGGTTTCTTTCTCAAAAATGCTGGTCTTTTCAATTTACTGATGGATAAACCATATAGGGGAGAAATATGCTCAAAATCATACATCTGATTTGAAGCTGAGCTTGGATCAAACCAAAGTTTGGTCCAAAACCCTCCACTGCCACCCCCCCCCCTTTCTTGACATCACAGGTTGCCATGCTGACAGTGTGTGCACATGTCAGTGTCTGTTCCCCCCGCCCCCACCCCCGCTGGATGGGCTGTTTTTTCCCTCTCATCTCCCTCCCTTCTTCTTCACGCCCCCTCCCTCATCCTCAGCCATCTTTGGTCCCAGAAAAATCCCATCTAAAGGGACATAGATAACAAGAAATTGCTAATTCGCATTTAGAAACATTTACCAAGGCCCTGCAGAGGCCAGCCTCACCTTAGGGCACCAGGGAGTCAGCAGAGAGCCACATATGCCTCCCTGAGGGGCTATAACCTGGGGTGGGGAGAGAAGACACATTGCCCCTCCTCAAAACAAACAAATGAAAAGACCCAAGCCAAATGCCATGGAGACTTCTAGAAACTTCGACAAATGAAGAAGCTAGAAACTTCTGACAGCTCACACACCACAGAAAAACAGTCTCCAAAATGAAAAGAAAGAAAAGGGAATTCAAAAACACAGGAAGCAATCATCTTCCACCGTAAAATGCCAGAAATCCTAGGGACACTCTTTTTACCAATGCTCAGGGTCAGGGGATTAATGGAGGAAGGCTGGCTGCTCAAGAAAAAACAGAAAAAGGGAGGGGGCTAGAAATCCAGGCCACAAACCACAGACCTCAGGAAAGATAAATATTCCAGCCTCTGGCTCAGGTCTGCCCCCAAGACCAAGCAGGGTGCCTTGGGAAAAGGGAGGCAGAAGGGATGGGAACACTGAGATAACCAAGGCTCAGGCTCCTGCCTGGGACTGGAAGAAAATGCGACGGGATGGGGAAACAAGTAAAGCCAGAGTTGCCTGGCATCTTGCCTAGTACTCAGCAGGCGCTCCGGGGGAAAAATGTGAGCAAGAGTGAACAGAATAGGAAACACTCAAGCATTTCAAGGCACTTCAGGCCCCTTAGCCCAGGAGCCACCTTCCCAAAGTCTCCAGCCACCCCAAGTTGTACGCGCTAGCTCTAGATGTTTCCACGCGCCCTTTCCCCTCTTCCTGCGTAGACTGTGAAAGGGAACCAGGTGCTCTTGCTGCTTGGCCGCCCGCTCCAGGGCTTTGAGGGCCAACCGGAGTCCACGACGCCAAAATCAGACAGTCCCACCTACCTTCCCCGCGCTCACCGTTGTCAGCCCGGGACGCCCGCCCTCCTACAAGGGGGCACATGGGAGGGTGGTGCGCGTCGAGGGAACAAGGGTCCAGGCTGGCTTTGCCATCTGGACAACGCCTTGGCACAGCGGGAGCTGGGATCAAGAAACCCCGGGGGTCCCGGAAGCCTGCTGGACACAGTGGGCTGTCGGGTGTTGGGATGGAGACTCACCTCCACTGGAGAGCCAGGAATATGTTGAGGAGCATCAGGAGAACTTTGGGCAACATCTCGGCGTTGCCTGGCGCGACCACCTGTGTTGAGGTCGCAGCGCAGGTCTGGCCGCTCAGAGAGAGGTGGATGGTTTTGTTGGGCTCCAACTTTCACTCCTCCCACTCGCCCCGCCCCAGCCCGCGCTCCCTCCTCACCGTGGGCCCGCCCCCTAAGCCCCGATGGAAATCTCCAACGACATGATTGCGGCAGCAGGGAGCAAGGCTGGGGCGGGCAGGCAGGGGGGTGGAGAGGAGGGAGCCTTGTCGCCAGGGCCCCCAGCAGCCAGCACTGCGGCGCTGCCAGACAGCCAGGGCGGGGGACGGAAGGAGTGAGGAGGAGGCGAGCCTGCAGCGTGAGGCCCTGGGCTTGGGGAAAACGCGCTAGCGCTTGTGGCTTGGGGAGCCTCCACTGGCTGGGCCAGGTGCGCGCAGGCAGGCGGGTGGGGGGCACTTTGCTGCGACCCCTTCCAAAACCCTGATTGGCTCTGAGGTCCTTGTGTTCTTCCTTACTACCTGTTGAGCCCCATTGCTCTTCCCCATCTTCCTCCGTAGCCTTGCTGATTTTTCCTGGTCTTGCTCCACACCCTCCAGCCTTTTCGAGCACATCTGCTGGCCTCTGAAGGAAGCTGGATAATTCAGTACCACCCTTAGTGCAGGCAGGAATAGGTGTTTAGGGCTTCTCCCTAGTAACCTCTGATCTGATTCCATCTACAGGCCAATTCCAAGTGTACCCAGGAGGCAAGGGAACAGTCACCAGCTGGGGATCCGGCAAAGGCATTCACTGGAAGACTGAATCCCTCAGGGGTATGGACTCAACATTGTTTTCTGTTCAGGCTTGGGGCCTGGGTGTCAGAGGAGGCTTTGGAAACTGCCCCTCTGCAAAAGGGCAGGGGAATTTTTCTTAGATCTCTGCTCTAGAGAATACCAAAGGAAGAAATGAGAAAGCCTAGAGGTGAGGTAGCATACCAAGAATTTCCAGCATTCTTGGAGTACTTCTTTTGCATAGACCCTTTAAACTGACTTCAGAAATTTGCATGGCAAGCTCTTATTGGACACTAGCAGCTTCCTCCTTCACCTGTTGCTCCAGAAAGCACTGCAGGCCTGAAGACTCTAGGAGAGGCTTTGCTATAGCACAGTAATCCACTAAACCCTCTGCACACCCTCCCTATTGCATCACTCTGCTTTGTCATGTTCTAAGCACTGCTCTCTACCTGTTTATTTTCATTGGGATTTCTTTCTGAGTTTATATATATATATATATATATATATATATATGATGTCATCACTGAAGTAAGCTCAATCTCTCTCTCTCACACACACACACACACACACACAAAGAGAGAGAGAGAGAGAGAGACCATATATCTCTCAGCTTTTCAACTGCATCCCTCAAAGTTAGAAGACACTGATTACACAGAACGCACTCAACAAACATTCCTTACTGGTACACATAAAACTTTATGTAGCCTAGTACCATTTAGCCCAGTATAAAGAGGTTTCCCTTTAGGGGAGTGGTTCTTTCTGCTTGGGGTCACAATAACATGAGGAACTGTATTAGAGGGTCACAACATTAGGAAGGTTGAGAAGCACTGCTTCAGACTCTGATGCAGCAGAGGAGAAATGACTATGGAGCATCTTTAAGCCTCTCGTGCTTCATAGCTCCTTGGAAGAACCACCTTGGTCAGCATGTGGCCTATGTAATTTCACAGGGCTTTTACCTAATCCGAACACTCTTGTCACCCTCTTAAATTTCTTAAGACATTCTAAAGAAGTGGTCCTGTGTTTTTCATTTTCCATGATGCTTTCAAATGATGTATCTGGTATTGTCTGTCCTAAGGAGATTTTATATGTGTTCTCCTAGGCCTAGAATAGTCTCCAAGGACTAGTCGGCATTACTGAAAGAGTGACTGAATCCTGGGTAGCCAAAATAGGCAAGTCTTTTGGTCTTCCATCAGAGAATCCCAGGTACCTGTTTACAGGTTGAGATTAAGCACTTTACCAACTTTCTCATAAGCACATCTTTAATATACTTACAAGGACTTGTGTAGTAGATTACTCAATATTATTATTGTTTCCTTGTCCTCCAAATATTTGCCACGTAATCGTCTTTACCAGATCTTAGCTTGGGTTGTAATGGAATACTCAGAAAGAATTCTATACCCTCTTGACATTATATATAAAGCATAGGCTAGGAGAAGGAACTTGGAGATTTGAAATATAAAACTAAGGTTCAGGAGAACCCCAATACTCCAAGGAAGACTCTTTTGTCATAAGCCTGTGCCTGTCACAACAAGAGGGGCTTCCAGGCTGTCAAGTTGCTTAGATAGGCAACCCAAGGGAATTTAAAACAGAAATGTGTGATGATTGACAAAGAAATAGGAAGAGTTTTTCACAAGTGTTTGTGTGAAGAGTAACTGTGGGAAATTAAGGTGACTTGGGAGGCTGGCCAGCCTAATGCTAGCACTGAATCTTGCTATCCTGTAGGCAACAGGGACATTTCATAAGGGTATTCAGTGGGGACAGTGCATATCAGAACTGTGTTTCAAGAAGAATCTCAGGAAGAAAATGCTGGAAGAATCACAGGAGAGAGCAACTATGGGGATTTCTAATAGATAAGACGAACAGTTCATTAAACTGAGTGTAGGAGTAGACAAAGCGGAGAAGGCTCTTCCCGGGTGACCACTGTGACAACACAGAAGAAAGGACATGAGAGATGGAAGAGGAGCTTTTAGTTACTGCTGAGAGAACAGTTCCCTAGAATGCATAGTACTTTCTAATGTTCCATTACAAAAAACTTTACATTTATTGCTTAGGGTTTTTTTTTCACGTGTGCGTATGTATGTATGCATGTGTGCAGAGGCGTATTTTTCTCTCACTAGCTATTTGTAATGCAACTTATTATTCAAGCCGCATCTAAACAAAATGTTAACATAGCAGCTCTGTTTTCATAAGTGAACAAAACTAGTCATTTATCAGAAGAGCAGCAAGCACCCCTTGTTAGTTGTGAATTATCAAATTTAATAACAAACATCAAACTATTGTATGTCCTGCTTGCTATGTGTTTGGTTTAAGGTTGAAATCAGAGCTGTTAGTCATAAAGCTCATGTGTTTCTGCCCTAGCTTGTACCCGACTGTACCACATACAACATGCTTTCTCTCTTAAGCTAAGAGAGAAAACACTAGTTCATACAAATCATGAAAGACCCTTAGCTTGTTAATTACCTAGGGTTTCATATGATCAAGATGCTAGGGAAGGTTAAGAATTTTGAGCTAGAGATAATGTAATCTATATGGCTGTACCAGGTGCTGAGGTTGATGAAGCAAGCAGAAGACTTTTGGGTTCAGAACATATAAACTGACAGGGGAAGTAGAGGCAGCACCAGGCAGAGCTCAATTCTCTGTGCTCTCTTGCAGATAGGGCAGGCAGGGGTTGATTTCTAGGTCCCTCAAATAGATGCTATATAAATATTCACAAATAAATTATTTTAGCATCACTAGACCCTACATCTATGTAAAAATGAGATTCAGAACACTTCTAACTTCTTGTGGTCTCATGAAACATTATGTAGTATCTCATGCATGGTCAGTATGCAACAAAACTTGTCTGCCATTCTTATCATTAATAGTGTTAGGAAATAATTGATAAGTAGCAGAACAAGCACATTTGTTATTTCTAAGCACCCAGGAGGTGTCTGGTCAAGAAATAAAATTTCAGATCCACATATACACTGCAAGCTAGGACGTGCCCACAGAAAGTGGAAATGGCACGTATAAAACTTGACTATATATTGGAGCATTTGAATAACTGAACAAATACTCTAGTCTGGTAGATCCAGCCTACAACAAAGAGAGATGTCTGTGATGGAGGCTGAGGGTCACCAGAAAATGGTAGTAGAGGGTGCTTCTAGACTATCTATTGACAGCTTCGTCTGACAAAGGGTGACAGTAACCATTGGGTAGATCAACAGGGAGGTCATTAGTGAAGCTTGTATGGGATAATGCAGTGAAGCAATAGAGCAGATTGTGGTTCAAATAGAGCTGGTGAGAACATGGGAGGCACAGTACAGGAGAGATCTCTACACTAAAAATTGACCACCTGGGCCAATGACATGTCCATGCAAGAAAAGTTTATAGTGATCTGCACAAACTCCCTCTCTCCCCTATGTATGTGTTTGCGTGTGTGTGTGTGTGTGTGTGTGTGTGTGTGTGTGTGTTCACAAGGATGGGGAAGAGAGACAAAAAGCTGGTGGAATTGGAGTCAGATTTGAAGGACATGTTATGTGGGAAAATATGCCCATTTAAGTGGCACTGAGTTGATAACTGCAAAGTACAAATGAAATTAATGAATGAGTGCTGAGTCTGGAGACCAGCAAGACACAGAGGAGCTAAAGCTACATCTGGACAAAGAGGCAGAGAAGCTGTATTTGAAATTGAGATGCAAGGATGGAGTCAATTGTCTCACACAGCAAGGTGCTGGCAGGCTATTGGGAGCTTTAGAAGTTGTGGAGGATTCCAGGACCAATAGAAGTGTCAGAGAAGTTGCAGAAGCAATAGCAATGTGAATGGGTTGCTCCAAAGCATAGTAGAAGATAGGGAGTAGAGCTGCTGGATTTTGTAGTTTGAGGGACATGATTAACTGCACCCCTAATATCTCTCCTCCTATTCAGAGTAATTTAAAAGAAAATGTAGAATCTGTGGCAAACAGAATAAAACATTCCAATACACTCTATGGTAGTTTGAATGTAATTAGCCCCCATAATCTCATAGAGAGTGGCACTATTAGGAAATGTGGTTTTGTTGGAGAGGGTGTGGCCTTGGTAGAGGAAGTGTGTCTCTGTGGGAGTGGGTTTTGAGTTTTTTATGCTTAGAGTACTGCCCAGTGTCTCAGTTGATTTCCTGTTACCTGCAAGATGTAGAACTCTCAACTACTTCTCCAGCACCAAGTCTGCCTGCATGCCACCATGTTGCCCACCATGAAGATAATGAACTAAATCTCTGAAACTTTAAGTGAGCCATTCAAATGAAATGTTTTCCTTTATAAGAGTTATCATGGTCATGGTGTCTCTTCACAGCAATAAAAACCCTAAGATA